AGAGTCTCCTCCTGGCATGCCCTGATTCCTCCCCCCCCCCCCCCCCCCCCCAATTGGAAGCTCCTCTCAAAATTGTGGTGCCAACTGTTGACAGGGAGCTGCAGCAGAGTGATAAAAGAGCCACATGTGGCTCCAGGACTGTGGGTTGCTGACCCCTGGTCTGGGGATTGCTTGTACAACTGTTTCTAAGAGTCACTGTGATATAAAGCTGAAAATATTGGAAGAGTACTGAAGTGAATTAGGTTTTAACCTGCCCTCTGATATAGAGGTTCATTTCGGGGTAGCCACATTCCTTCAGGGTTTTTACTGTGTGACAAAAAAGGTAGGTGTGTGTGTGTGTGTGTGTGTGTGTGTGTGTGTGTGTGTGTGTGTGTGTGTGAAAATGTGGAATTGAATAGTGGAATTCCAACCTCAGAATTTTTTTACGCAAATGCAGGACACAAAACAGACACATTAATAATCCACAAAAGACCATCATGAGAATAAATCAGAATTTTTTCTCCAGAATAATTTCAAGAATAGAATTTTGAGTGGGAAGAAGAAAGTCTTGAATCTTCCATGTTGCAAATGAAAAACGTCTAAACATCTATGTGGGAAAGGAAAACCTCCAAAAAGATCTTGAATAATACAAAATAATGAAGCCTTTTTTTTCCTGGAATCTTTCGACTGTATTAGGCCTGCGGCCCCCAGAATTCTTGTCTATTTTGGGAAAACTGCTGAAATGGAAGAATGAAATGAACTCGGGGAATTGAAAACTCGTTTCCCTTCTGATCATCTTTAGGAAGCAACCAATCCTAAATTTTGTCTCAAAATCTTTTTAAACAATAACTTTAAGTTGGTTGGTATTTCTGGAGTGGAGGTTATAGAAATCTTAGGAACCTTGGAACCCAAAATTTCTCCTACTTGCTTCCAACTTTACCATATTGTGGTTTTCCAAAGCCTGTAGAATCCCATTTGAATTTTTTTCCTGCTCCTTTCTTAGACTTCTTATATGTATATCAGAGGTGGATTTCTCCCAGTTCGGTCCAGTTCAGATGAACCGGTAGTGGAATTCAGGCCTGGGTCACAGAACCAGCAGCGACCCAGGCCTGCCCCCCCCCCAAAAAAACCAGTCTCCTTGCCACCGCTGTGCCATCTCCATTTTGGATTTTAGTGACTGTGTGTGTGCTGTACATTGAACAGTGCGTGCCTGACACACGTGGGTTGCGAACTGGTAGTAAAACCGGCAGCAACCCACCCCTGATGTATATAGTTGGGTATGCTTATCCTGCTCATTCTTCTTTCTATGGCTTATCTTTAAACCATCTTCTGTGTTTCACAGAAAGCAAAAAGTTCCATTTTTGATTCACGTTTTTTGTCTGCAATTAGAAAATTATCTGATGGCCAAACCATTGTAACAATCTTATTGCTGAATTATGAAGGCACTGTTTTACTCCTGCTAACTCTGCCATTGCGGAAAAGGATTATATGGGAGAAATTTTCATACATTATACAAAGACCCAGCTCTCTGGAGGGGGCTCTTATGTTGAGAGAGATGGAAGGATGGAGAATAGAGGAAGACCTTGAAAAAAAGTGGATGGACTTGGTTGCGATGGCAATGAATGGACCACTGGGAAACCTGAAAGAACAGGCTGAGGACAGATTGTCATGGGGAAAAAAATCTATATATGTGAGAATCAAAAACAACTTGATGGCACATAACCAATCAATTTAGCAGGAAAGGATGAATTCTATTTATTTAGGCCTTTCAACAAGGGGTGCACTTATTAAATGCTTTATGGAGACCCTCATGCTGTAACAAAAACACACAAACAGAGAGACAAGGGTTTTGTTGCACTTGGCATGAAAACTACTAAGCCTCCTCAGTTTGGGGTTCTGTGTTTTCCTTGCAATTACTTGCCTTTGACATTTCCTGAAACTTGTAAAATCACAAGATCAGCATGAAAAGCATCATGTGCTGCTCGGCTACTTATTCAAAGAAGCCCATTGAGGTAGAAAAGGATTAGAAGCAGAGAGAAAAAGAAAGGGTTGTGCCAAACCAAATAGTTGGCAAGACCAGGATTAGAAAGCAGATTATCCTAAACAAATTAGCACTGCTTGGTTCGGGAGTAGAGAAACAGGGGGAAAACAGGGGAATGAAAGGAAAATTCTACCGAGAAGGGCTCAAGACGTCTGTAAATAAAAAAGGTAAAAGCAGAGATCTTGAAAAAAATACATTGGAGAGAAATTAGAGTGATAAAGTGCATAATGTATGTAATTTATACTTGGAGTTGAGGAAATTAAGGTTAATCTAGGGGATATGTTTATCAGAGCAGGAGTGTTAAAACTATTAGGTATTGTAAACTATTATTGTGGTAATTAATATGTGAAAAGGTTGATTGCTTTATATACTTTGAAATATAATTGGAAGATTGGACACAATGCTATCGTGATCCTTTACGTTTGTGAAGAGGGAGACGCAAGAGATATGGAAATTGAAATAGATTGATTATATAAATATAGAAATGGCTGTATGGATCTACAGCTTCCTCTGGGAATGATGAAAACTATGTTTAAACCTAGAGTCGGGAACGACTAGCACATATGTGTGAGGGGAACCTTTACCTTTACTTTTTTATTAATAACCATGTATTCAATCCTAAAAAAAAATGGAAGTGGGGTTTTTCTTTTCATAGGTGAAATAGGAGTTTATAGTATTAAACAGGGGATTTTTACATGCTTTCCCCCCTTTTTATTTCAGAGCCTGTTTTCCTACAAAGAAATTAAGAGAATTTCCCAAATACCTAGAGACGCAACCTTACGCCTTTGCTTTGGTAGGATCTGAAAGTTATTATGCATCTTGCAATACCACTCCTCCTCCTATTGGAAGCAACTAATGCTCAGTTCCCACGACAATGTGCTACAGTGGATGTGCTGATCCAAGGCGAATGTTGCCCAGACCTGTCTCCTGGAGTGGTTCCTGGTTCTGATCGCTGTGGCTCATCTTCTGGAAGAGGCCAGTGCGTACAAGTAATAGCAGATTCCCGACCCCATGGACCTCAATATATGCATGATGGTCGAGATGACCGCGAGCAGTGGCCTCTTCGTTTCTTCAATCGAACTTGTCGGTGCAACCACAATTATTATGGTTACAACTGTGGCTCATGTCAACCTGGCTGGACTGGCCCCACCTGTGACCGGAAGATTAATATAGGTAAGCACGATAGCAAGAGAATGCAACCCTTTTTCTGTTCTACCTTTGGGCTCCCTGGTGCTTCTTTCTTAGCTCTTCCAGTAATGATGCTGATGTTTGAAGAATGACTTCAGGAGGTGCCTGCCTGATCATCTCAAATGATAAATATGTTGGCATCTATCTTTACATCTTTTGCTCACTCAAGCCTAAGTCTCTAAATCTTTAAAAAAAGAAGATTTTTTTAAAAGAAAACAAATAAACCATAAGTAAATAATTGGGAAATGCATGCATATTCATGACTGGTTTGGCAATCTAGTGCTAATTTATTTCACACCAATGTAGTGGGCCTTCCAGCTTCATGTGTGTTCTCCACTAAAAAAAATTGCCATAGAGGATGATGATCAGAACAACAAGAAGACCCGAGAGAGAAGGAATATAAAAGTCACAAAATATATTTGAAAGTCAGTAGAAGATATAAACAGCAGCCCATAGCAATATCTTTCTGTTCAGGCCATTAAGAATTATTCTAAGTGGGGTTTTCTATGTTGTTTGATTCCAAGAAATGGCTGTTTTGTTTGTCTTGCTAATGCTACATGGATTTTGAATAATTCCCAAAACCAAGCATTCAGCAAGATCAAAAAATGTGAGCACATAACAATATTTAGTAAAAAGAAGATAATTAATGCATGAATCTGAGACGATCTCAAAAAACAGTAAAAGAATTTGTTTTCAAGAAGCATTTTTTGTTCTTCTCATTGAACAATAAAAATGATCCTTCTCAACCCAGTGTATCATTTAATCCAATAAATAAACACTTTGTGTTGAATTAAAAAACCAAGGAAAAAGTGAAAATTCAGATATATCTTTTTAAGAACAGTTCTTAGAACCTTCAGAAGTTACATTAGGTATGTTGAGAAATGCAGCAGGTTATCTGGATTTCTTTTGGTCAACATTCAGGCTTGGTTATAGGAGAGAATCCACTGTCATTCAGCCTGGTGGATGATTTTTATCAGGACCTAGATAACAGAAGTGCACCCCTCCTGGTCCTTTTGAAACTCTCAACAGCTTTCAAGACTGTTGACAGTGCTATTTTTCTGTAGCATCTACTAGAGCTGAGGATTGCAGGCACTGTTTTATTGTGATTCCATTCCTTCCTAAGTGGAAAGTACCAGTGTGTTGTGGGGAAGAAAGGTCATCTAGGCAGTGATGATTTGTTACTCTCTGTGATGGGATGTACATTTGTGGCAGCAGAGCAGGAAGGATTTTGCCAATTCCACAAAAGAAGCTCAGATAAAGAGTCATGAGTTGGATGGGGGAGGAAGGAAGAGGTTCAGGGTAACCACACCCTAGAACCGTTCATGATATATAGGTAGTCCTCAAATTACGACCCCAATTGAGCCCAAAATGTATGTTGCTAAGTGAAACATTTGTTAAATAAATTTTGCCCCATTTTATGACTTTTCTTGCTGCAGTTGTTAAGTGAATCATCACACATGTTAAGATAGTAACAAGATTGTTAAGTGAATCTGGATCCCCATTGATTTTGTTTGTCAGAAGATAACAAAAGCTGGTCACATGACTCCAGGACATTTCAACCGACATAAATAGGAGCTGGTTGCCAAGCATCTGAATTTTGATCATGTGACCCTGGGGATGTTGTAATGGTCATAAGTGTGAAAAATGGTCATAAGTCACTTTTTCAGTGCTGTTGCAACTTTGATCAGTAACTAAATGAACTGTTGTATGTCAAGGACCATCTCTATTTAGGTTCAAGCAAATAAAATAATGGACTCAATTGGATCTCACTATCTCATCTCTTGGCTTGGACCTGACACCAATGTGTTAGACACCCAATGGACAGAATCTTGCCAAACTAAAGCTCTAAATTTCTAAGCTATTTTACATACCTTAAAAGATTTTAGGGTGTGGTTGCCCTGAACAGCTTTCCTCCTCTCCTATCCAGCTCGGGATTGTGTAGTCTCTTGATCTGGATCTCTTTTTAGGAGAGCTCTGAGCTGCCAAAATCCTCCCCCTCTACTGCTATCACACTCTTGTAACTGTTCTTTTTTATATATACATGGAGATATTTGGAGAAGTCATTCACTAGTTTGGGTTGAAGAACCATCACAGTATGCCAGCTATACATTTCTGCTCCCAACCAATCCAGGAATGCGATGGAATTAGTTGCAGGCCAATAGAAATTGGTTGGATAGGGTTTGTATATATGTGTGCAAAAATGAATATAGAGACTATGATGAATAGACAAATGTTAAGTAGCAATTATAAGAATGTATATCTAAGAATGAATTTGAAAGGGAAAAATAAAAAATCTTTTACACAAAAAAGAAAAAGAAATTGGATGGATAGAAACTGAGATTGAATCCCTGCAAAACAGGTTATTGTTGATCCAAAAGACATGTGATATTTTTTCCTGCCCCAGTAATAATGAAATGGGGAGTTACTGTTGCTAAAATAAAAAATCCACAACTAGGGATCCTCCTAGATTCACAGCTAATGCTAGACAGACAATGGAGATTGTAGCTAGAGAAGACTTTGTCTAGCTTCAGCCTTTCCTGAATGAGGTCCTGAACAACAAATACTAATACCTTTATCATGTTTAAAATTGTTGACTGAAATGCGTGCTCCATGGGATTGGAAAGGTTGGGAATCTCCTGCGGGCAAGAAACAGCTATCCATGTCATAAAACAGTGGGGGTTTTTTTGGGGGGAGGAGTGCCACAGTAGTTTACAATAAGCTTCTGAGTACAATTTGAGTTGATTTTGTTTATTGCATGGAATCTGGGTATGCTATTGCCTCCTACTTTGTGCATTTGTTGATCCAAATGCTGTTTTTAGGGATCTTTTCCAAGTGAGATCACAGGAAGGAAATAAGGGCATGGCATTTTTTACTTTATAAGTTATCCCTGTGAAATAGTTTCCTATCAGAATTTACTGTAGGTTGTGGTTTTATAGAGACAGTGATTGTGATGGAGATATATTGTTTTAACTGTTTTTATTAACTTCATGAAAGATCCTTGTGGAGCTAATGATATGCAAATACTCGAAAGAAATACATAAAACAGCTACATCTTACCAATTCAGAATTTTAAAAAAGTTTCCAAATTGCAATGTGCATGTAAAGTTTTCAGTGGGGAAAATATATTGTTGGTTGTTTTTAATGGCTTAAGTACCAGCCTCCTTGTTTGTTTATTTACATGAAGGTAAAATATCAGTTACTATAACTTTCCCTTACTGAAACCTTCATTCCAAATATGCAGTGTGGGAAAGTTTCTAAGCATTGTAACTAGTGAAGGAAGATCATGAAGATGTGTTCTTCATCATGTTTTGTTTTGGGTTTTTTTGCAATACAGCTCTAAATCTTTTGTGCATCCTCTACTTGCTGAAAAAGTCTGAATTTATCATGCATTCATTCCACCCAGAGTTACCCTTTGGTAAAATGGGTGGCCAATAAATACGATACATAAATTAATCAAGGTTCATTTTACCTACCTCCACATTTATTCACATTCAAGGGACATATTAATTGATAAGCTAATTTGTGGTATGAAGTGAAATGTGGAATTTAGAACCCTCATATGGTTGATGAGCTTCATCAAATACATCTTTTGAAATTCATGAGATGATATGTTTATGTATCTGCAGAATGCCTCGTATCTCTCGTTTTTGCTTCATAAATAGTAAACTGAATCAAAAGCAACTGCATTACATAAAACGATCTACATGCACAAAGTATTTACTCTGCCGGCAGTGAGGGGTGAGGAGGTGATATATTAATTCAAAACACTTTATTATATCACAGAAAGTCTAAAAGGTTTCATCAAAAGGCTATTCCAATTCCCAGCTCCCAAAATAATCACATTATTTATAGTAGTAAAAAGGTAAAGGAGTCCCTGTGGATTTTACTCTGCTAGTTGTTGCTGACTATGGGAGCGGTGTTCATCTCTGTTTCAAGGCCACTGAGCCCGCGCTTTCAAAGGCAGTTCCATGTTCATGTGACCAGCATGAGATTATGGAGCACAGTTACCTTCCCACCAAAGTGGTGCATGTTTATCTGCTTGCATTTGCATGCTTCAGAACTACAGAAGCCTTCCTTAAAATCTCTGGCTTAATTTATAAACTAAATTGAATTAAATTATATGATATAATAGCCTATACTATGCAGCCGACATTCTAGCTTCATATTTTATTTTGAAATATTTAAGTATTTTTATCCATCTTCTCTAGGTTCAACATTTTGTTGAAATATCATTTTATTTGAGAACTTTTTTAACCAGGATATTGATAAGCATGTATTTTCAGTCTTCTGATGGTATTTCCACTGTTTCTTTTGTATGGCTTTAATTCTATTTCCTTGATCTCCAGTTAGACGAAATCTTCTGGATTTTAGTAGTGAAGAAAAGAGTGAGTTTCTAAGAGTCTTACAACAAGCCAAAACTACAACCCACCCTGACTTTATGATCGCAACCAGGAGACGTGAGGAGATCTTGGGTCCTGATGGCAACACTCCACAATTTGAAAATGTGTCCATTTATAACTATTTTGTGTGGTCTCATTATTACTCGGTCAGAAAAACTTATCTTGGGCCTGGACAGCGAAGTTTTGCTGGAGTAGATTTCTCCCATGAAGGACCAGCATTTCTCACCTGGCACAGATATCACCTGCTACAACTGGAGAGAGATATTCAGGTGAAGTATTTATTATTTATATTGCCTAGTATCAGATCAAAGAACAGGCAAGCCCTGTCTCATTTTCAATTTGGAGTAATGATGCTCCTTGCCTAAAAGGAGCTACTGGGAAAGCTATAGATCAGGATGTCCAACCTTGGCAATTTTAAGTCTTGTGGACTTCAACTCCCAGAATTCATGCCTAGCTATGGAATTCTGGGAATTGGAAGTCCATAAGTCTTAAAGTTGCCAAGATGGACACCCCTGCTGTAGATAATTAATGTTGGGTGGCCTAGGCAACCTGCTGTTTGGAAATTATTTAAATATAAAATCATTCAAAATTTCCATAACCACACATACATATAAAAAAAAAGTCAGATTAGTTGACATACAAAACATCTGAATAGCACCAGGGACTTATCCGGGTTGCAGATACCCTGAGTAAACAAGGCCACTCCTTATGGTTGGAAATAGGAACCTGGGCTTTTTTTCCCCACACAAATGCCTCTTATTAGAATGAGAAGTATCATATTCAAATTCATATATTTGAAGTTCCAAATTCATTATAGTGGCCTGCTAGGGAAGGAACGGCTAAGAATGATTTGCATTTCCTTGTGAATTGTGTGATTCTGTCTGCAACACAGCATGGCTCATCATGAATCCCATATTCTCTACACCAGGATATGCTACAGGATCCTTCTTTTGCCCTCCCTTATTGGAACTTTGCCACAGGTAGAAACAACTGTGACATCTGTACAGATGATCTCATGGGATCCAGAAGCAGCTTTGAAGACTCTCTTCTCAGCCCCAATTCAATCTTCTCACAGTGGCGCATCTTGTGTGAGGCTATTGAAGACTACGACACATTGGGAACCATTTGCAACAGTAAGCCTAGATTTGTAGTGCTATTTAGCTCTTATCAGAGTTTCCGTAAGAGTAATGAATATATTTAAGAATTCTTTTTGGTTCAGATATGGAACCTAGCAGGTTTAATTTTATCTTTACCTCAAATTATGCACATACAGACAAAACATTGCATGTTTCATTCAGAGGGCATGAACGCTTTTTATCAATCAAGTTCATCATCATGTGAAACACTTCCAGTTTTAGATTTTGAGGAAAATTCTGCTTTCTTTCAAATGTATACCTAGCCTAATGAAGGGAAGAACATGGAGTGACATGATAGCAGTGTTCCAAATTTATTTGAATTTTATTTGTATTTTACTTAGCTTATCAAACATGTACAAGATATCAGGTATAAGTATAAACATGAACATGAATAAGGAAATGATTACAAATAAATGAAAACAGTAGGACAGGGAAGGTAAGCATGCTGGTGCGCTTATACATGCCCCCTTTACGGACTTCTTAGGAATGAGATGAAGTCCACAGTAGACAATTTAAGGTTGAAGCTGTGGGGGTTAGAGGATGTAGCAACAGAGTCAGATAGAGCATTCCAGGCGCTGAGCACTCTGTTGCTGAAGTTGCAATCGAGTTTGGAGCAGTTTACCTTGAGTTTGTATCTATTGTTTGCCCAAGAGGTGGGTTGCTCCCATTTCGGCTGAACCTGTAGTGGTGGTGGCAGGAGGCATATGCAGAAATGTTGCACAGGTGCACGAGTGTGTGCACGAGTGAACCGGTAATAAACCAGTTAGAAACCCACCACTGGTTTGCCCCTGTATTATTGATGTTGAAGCTGAAGTAGTTGTTGACAGGTAGGATGTTGTAGCAGATAATTTTGAGTACTATACTTAGGTCAGACCATAGGGTGTTGGGTTGTCACAGAGAAGAGGGGCTCAACCGATTCTCCAAAGCACCTGAGGTCAGGACAAGAAATAACAGGTGGAAACCTATCTGAGAGGGTTCCAAGTAATAAATCCATAGCAAGCAAGACTCTGAGGCATGTAGATTCCTCAAAGAATACTTTTATTTGGAAATATATTGGCACATATCTGGTGAAAAACAACTCTAAGGTTCCCGCGGTTTTCACCAGATAAAAGAGAACGTTTTCCCTCAAACCTCAAAAAATCAATCACATGGTCCAATCAAGACATTGTCAAGGAGACCTCTCTCCTTCTTCCATGGTCCAGGTGTGAGAATGTCATTGGTCCCCAAGAGAAAGTATTTTATTTTGGGTACACAAACCCCTCTATCTCTAATCCCCCCTCCCTATCCCTCAGCTTCAGTGTGGCAACACTGGAACTCCAATATGGCTCTGGTCAGGTCAGCTTCAGGGTTGACAGTATCAAGGAGGGGTCCAATCTAGAACTAAGAAGAAAGACTCATTCCAGAATGTCTAGCTCCTTTCTGGGACACACTGGTTTGAAGTCCACACTTTGAGGTTCCAATTGAAAAATATGCACAGGGCTCAAAAGGAAAAAAAAACGGGTAAGTCCAGAGAAAAGCCATAAGTTTTATTAACTTTAAATATATACTTTTTTCCCTGTTATTTTTTTCCCTACTGTTTTGTTAACAGTTACAATTTTGCAACAGAGGCTATATGTGCTATGTCCAAGAGGTTGAGGGAGATGAATGTGACTCTAGCACAATGTTTCTCAACCTTGACAACTTTTAGAATTCAGTTTAAGTCCATCTTTCTTAAAATTGTCAAAGCTGATTACCAATTACCCTACTGTCTCAGCATTACATCTGTAATCTAAGGCCATTGATTAAATTAATGGCAGAGGCAAAATTTAAATAAGCATCTTTCTGACTCAATGTCTTAGAACTAGGTCTTACTTTACTTTTATATATCATAATGTTTTCTATTACCCTTCATATACACCTAAATAATATTGCTACCATCCTCCTTCTACTATAAAAGCCCCAAAGTAGCAGAGAAAGAGAAGAAATCTATTCAGACTAATGCTTTATGTTTTAGTGATTCCCATGTTACCCTCTTCAAACTTACATAAAAACCAATATACCTTTTATATATCAACAGCTGCACATTTAGAATTCTCTAGTATAATTCACAGCTCAAAATATCTACACCAAAAATGTACATAAAGGGAAACAATGTATATGCAAATTAATACCATATTTCTATCCAGTCTGCTTTGGGGGAAAAACCAATGCATAAATAGAGTGAAATAAAATTAGAGGGGGGAAAACATAACAATTGAGCACAACCAAGTGGACAGATCGTGCATAAATCTCCTATGTATTTTCTGTATTTAGAATATGATAACTTCTCTTTGGAAAAATAAAAGGAATTCAGCAGATTAAGTAGTGATATGCAACATTAACTGTGAGTGGTTCTTGGCTAAAAATGGGATTTTTTTTCTCCAAGATGCCTTCCCTGCATTATTTCTTAAATTATGAGATTAACCCGATAATCCATTAAATCTTATTCCCCCTCCCTCATGCCTCTGTTTTGTTTTTTTTCAAATGTCAGGCACAGAAGGTGGTCCAATTAGACGAAATCCAGCCGGAAATGTCGCCCGTCCCATGGTGCAGCGACTCCCAGAGCCTGAGGATGTTGCTCTTTGCTTAGAAGTTGGATTATTTGACACACCTCCATTCTACTCCAATTCAGCAGACAGTTTCCGTAACACAGTAGAAGGCAAGTCACTCCAAAGCAAACAAACTCTTGAAACCAGAGATGAAATCCACCACACTCCTCACACTGAAGTGGGTTTAAAAAAAAAACAAAACACCACCGGTTAAAATCCTTTTGTGGCAAAAGAAATTGTTTAGGAAATCACCCCACCCCACCCACTCCAAGATTCATTATCTGGTTTTCCACATCTGGAAACAAATAGGATGTGAGGGAACTCCTTTATTGAATTCAGCAGATTTTCTCAAAATCAATGGCCCTGCCAGTGATGGGTGAAATGAAAGCAAATGTTGGCTTTATCAACTTCAGCAAGCAATACTATTTGAGGCTAAGGCTTATAGTACTTTGCCTCTGGAAATGTTTTTTTTTTTAAAGCACTTCAAAACATAGTATATTCATGACTTTGTTAAAAGCAGTGACATACTCAAATTTCTTCTCTCGCCATATTACATTACATTACATTATATCTGCAGGCCCCTAGATATTAGACAGCACATAGGCAGAGGAATAAAGGGACACGGTGGCTCAATGGCTAAGATGCTGAGATTGTCAATCGAAAGACCGGCAGTTCAGCTGTTCAAATTCCTAGTGCCACATAACAGGGGTTCTCTCTCTCCCTTCCTCCCTCTCTCCCTCTCTAGCTGCTGTCTGTCTGTCTGTCTCCCTCCCTCTCTCTCCCCCTCTCTCTCCCTTCTTCCTTCTCTCCCTCCCTCCCCCCCTCTCTTTTTAATAGAAAGCTTTAAAAACAGCACCAGGTACATATTTAAAGCAGAGTTTCAAGAATGAAAGGTACCACAGAATCTGGACAGAGCTATTCCATAAGTGTGTTAAACAAAAACACAGTAATATTGCAAGAATGATTTTGCAAGGAATTAATATACGGGATGATAAATACATTATACTAAATGCTTAATTTTATTCACTCCAATTTCAGACACCTAACTTCATCTTACCATTGGGCTAAATAGCAATCAAGATTCATACATGCCAAGAAATCTAGAGTGCTAGTTAGGTTTTTCAGAAGCCCCAAGTCACTTCTAAAAGACTTATGGAGAACTGAAAAAAACATCTTGGCCCCTAGAGAACAGAGGAGTATCCATAATTGTTGAATGCATACAGAGATTTCTGCTATATTATTGCCAGATTGATACAAAGTAATTGTTTTATTTAAGGGTGGAAAACGCATTCTCCCTCCCTCCCTCCCTCCCTCCCTCCTTTGTCTTCACTAGCCATGTGCTCTACCTCATTTTGTGTATCCAATGTCTGAGCCAGGCATATTATAATATATTGCTAAGAGTCACTGATCTCACACTTATCTGTTCGTGGGAAACAGGAAGTTATGTCTGGGCTATGGGATGATCCATTTTTTCATATAATTGGCCTAACCTTTTAGGAAAGCAATTTCTGTGGAGAAGATTAAAACATTTATTTGATATTGTGCTAGGCAGGATTGTGCTTAACTCGGACAGGCGAGAGTTCCAGAATTGCTTCAGAATAGAATAGAATAGAATAGAATAGAATAGAATAGAATAGAATAGAATTATTTATTGGCTAAGTGTGATTGGACACACAAGGAATTTGTCTTTGGTGCATATGTTCTCAGTGTACATAAAAGAAAAGATATATTTATCACGAATCATAAGGTATAACACTTAATGATAGTGATGGGGTACAAATAAGTAATCAAATCATACTAGGAAAAAATCAATATAAATCAATTGTTCTCCTCTTCTTTATTCTCATGTTTAGGCTACAGCAATCCTTCAGGAAAGTACGATCCGGCAGTGCGAAGCCTTCACAACCTGGCTCATCTGTTTTTGAATGGAACTGGAGGGCAAACTCATTTATCCCCAAATGATCCCATTTTCGTGCTCCTCCACACGTTTACAGATGCTGTTTTTGATGAATGGCTGAGAAGGCATAACCCTGGTGAGATATTTGGATTTATCTTATTCCTCTGTATAGAATCCGAGGTACAATCCATACCCAACACAGTCCTTGAGATAAATTATCCAGGCAACAATCTCTGCCTCTCTAAAGTAGATGCTTAGATCCCACAGCAGCAATGCAACCAACTGCAACTGCATCCTTTATCTCTCTTACTAGAAGCAGAATAAAATCTAGCCCCCAAAAGGAATTACTGTATATATTGCTGATAAAGGATAAATCACACCAGAAGATCATAAGCTCTTCTGGTATTTCCTTGCAGATCCAAGAAAGAGAAATGCTAACATTTAATTTTTTTTACATCTCCTAACTTCCCGAATGTGTAGCTCTCTGTATTTCCATCTCCCAAAAGAAAAGTAAAACAATACACACTCTGTTGTAGGGTATACATTTGAAGGTAATCTTTAAAAATCTTACAGCAATGCTCTCTGTGTGTTTTAAAATAGCAAGTCAAGTGGCATTTCTTAAGATTCATATGACTGTTCATTGCTGCAGGAGAATTCCTTAAGTTCATGGCATGCTTTGCTGAGCAATAACAGCCGAAAGGAACTGGCATGGTAGAAGTTAGATGGGTGTTTTTTTTTAAGTCTTGTAGAATTTAGAAAAAATGGTGATGAAAAGAAACTTTTAGGGACTGGACCATGAGAGCAATAGCTTTCAACTGCACTGAAAGATGGGAAGGCATGGTGAATCTCACAAGATTATGTCAGGAGACAATTAGTAGTGGATAAAGTAGTTGGCTAAGTACTGGCCCAGTTTAATTCATTGTACCCATGATCAATGTCCAAGCATGAATATCCAGCATGAATAAATTTTCAGCTTTCATGAGGCAAAAGTGACACTTTGTGAATATCACAAATATTCATGCATGGGGGAAATTACTTATAACAGGAATAATAACTTAGATTTTAACTCTCATCAGTCTCAGTCTGCATGATGATTGTCGAAGGGTTGTGTAATTGTTAATTCAAAGCATCTGGAGTGCATCTGACTGACAATCCTTATTTTAGAATGTGTTCTAGAACAGGGCTCATCAACTTTCGGACCTCAGGGACCACTAAATTCATAATTTTAAATCCCACGGATCACTAATATGATTTTTTAAAAAGATAAATAGTTTTTAGTGCAATATAAAAAATGCAAATAATTTTTCTGTGGACCACCAAAATTTTCTCACAGACCACCAGTTGGTGACCACTGTTCTAGAATACTTTTCAATAAAAAAAAGTTCTATGAAAGATTCACAGTGAGACTCCAAGGTATAAGTTTAGATTTTTAGAAGTTTTACGACACCTAAATGGTTTAGAAACACACACACACACACACACATACATCTTTGATTCACTCAACCTACATTATTATAGAATATTAATTGGTTCTATCCATTAATCTATTCTAAGCTTTGTAATGTTTGGCAACTATAGAAGGATGGTTTTCATATAAGGTGGCATTAAACAATAATTCAAGACTAAAAGCTTCACTTTATTTGCATGTCAGTCATGCCTCTATTATTAAAATAATCCATAGATTGTCAGTCCATTAACTAACCAAATAACACCTGAAGCCGGGCAGCATTAGGTGAATATTACATTTGGTCTCACAGTCAGCCTGCTGTTTATAATGGATTTGGCATTGTCCACCCATCAAGTCTTTCCCAAGGATATAGATAGGCAGATGCTGTTGTTTAATCTATCATTTAGTACTGTTCTGTTAGCCATGAATAATGTCAAACCAGTTTTTCTGAAAAGCCATTTCAGTATTTAATTCCAAGTTTTCAAACTTTAATAATTGCCTCCTTTTGTTTAGATAACTCAACATACCCATTAGAAAATGCCCCCATTGGACACAACAGACAGTACAATATGGTACCATTTTGGCCCCCTGTAACCAATGATGAGATGTTTGTTACAGCACCAGAAAACCTGGGCTACAGTTATGAAGTTCAGTGGCCATGTAAGTTATATAATTTCTTCTTTTCATCAGGTAGCACATTACTTTTTTTCTCTTAGATCAAAAGAAATGTTACTATTTGCGTATATATCATATGCAAAATAACCATCATTGGCTGGACTGATTTTTGCAGCTTCTTTGACTGGTTTGGACCATTAAATACTAATCAGGATAAGTCTCAAATGTGTGGTTTTTAAAATCTAAATATCTTGATTGATCTGTTTAAGAAAAGGTATTTGATAAATGGTGAATGTTCCTTTTTAGCATCAGAATCAGTGATCGAAAATATAGCAAGCAAGTCTTTAAGTCAACTAAATTAAATATTGCAATGCCTTGATTTGATGACCAGTTTAGTTAATAGTAAGAAAGAACAAATATTTTGAGTTGGCTACATATTTTCTAGTAATGCTACCAAAAGCTTTTATTTCATTGCATGAGTTTATATTACAGAATAAATAGCTCAAATTTTGAATTGAATTCAGACTCCTAAAGGATGCATTCCATCAATTCAGTATTTCAATTGGTTAAAAAAAACAGAGAATTATTTTGGGAACTGAGCAGCATAGAAATGCTTATAAATAAACAACCCATGAAGCCTATGGTTTTAGATTTATGGCAAGGGGGCCATAAAAAAATAGCTATATCTAGAGGGATCAGGCTGCAATCAATAAGATCTTGAAATTTTTGGAATTCGGTTAACTTCCACATCATCCAAAAATAAATTCCCAAGTGGTTTAACAACTCCCAAAACTAACACTCTGCTTTGTGTTTTCCCCATTTCTTTCAGCTCCAGCTCTCCACGTGACTGAAATCATAACGATTGCAATAGTTGCTGCTTTGATCCTGGTTGCAATTATATTCGCTGCAGCCTCTTGTATTGTGTATTCCAAGAGACAGGAAGAGCACCAGCCACTTCTCACCGACCACCATCTGACCTATTCAGATGATTATGACAGCATTCCAACCCCAAGGCAGTCAAATGTGTGAAGATAAGTGACTTATCTGCATTTGATGGCTTCTATTGTGTCTGCTCCATGCTTGCAGGAAAGGCCATTTCAGAGTGAGAAAAATCTTCCTTTATCTAATATTTATCTCCAATCCATATTCTTTCTTAGACTGGTTCAATATTTCTACTGATTTCACCCACTTCACTTCTATTCTATCTACAGTATGTTCACAATATAAAAGACTAACAATGAATATTTTACAGAAGTTAAAGTAATTAGTAAATATGTATTAACTGCTTTTATATGGAAGATGGTGCAAAAATTATGTTTATGCTAATCTTGTTTTGAGAGCCAGTTTGATGTAGTGGTGAAAGCATCTGGTTAGAAGTCAGGAGATCATCAGTTCTAATCTCAAATTAGGCATTAAGTTAGCTGGGTGACCTTGGGCCAGTCACTCTCTCTTAGCCCTAGTAAAAAGGTAATGGCAAACCACTTCTGAAAACTTTGCCAAGAAAACTTCAGAGACTAATTCAGGCAGTCTCCGAATTGGATACAATTGAACAGAAGGAAACAAATCTTGAAAAAAGATGTCACAAAACACTACTAGCACCAAAGAAACAGCTGTCCTGTTTTCTTAGGATTCAGTCACCAGCTAGATTGTTTCTGTGCACCTCAATATCAAGCTAATTCTAGTATCTCAGCAGCCTATAGTGATGTGTTTTTCTGTAACTAAGTTTACATTGAGGCATGCCCAAATAAGGCTCTGGACATTGTTTGGAAAAATTCCCTCAAAGAGATATTAATAACTCTTGAATCCCAAAGATCCATCCATATCAATCCATCCAGGTTGGGCATTTGTCCAATCCACTGATGATATCAGAGAAGATCCTCCCAACCTCCTCAGGCTGAACAAGATCCTTTTGCAAGAGGTTACCTCACTCATCATGCTAGATCACACCCAACTGGCATTCAATCCAACCAAACACAAATGACTAAATCTGACAAGGAACTGGCAGACATTATTTTAGCAGTCTGTTAGAGCAGGGGTCCCCAATCCCCGGGCAATGGGCTGTTTGAAACTGGGCAACCAATAAGTAAAGGTGAATATGGGAAGCTCCATTCACGTCAATAGCAAGTCCTTGTGCTTGCATGCAAAGCTCCACTTGTGTGAATGGAGCTTCACACACAAGCATTCTACACTCGCACGAGTGGAGCTTCGTGTGTGTGTGCGCCCTCCACTTGCACGCAAAACTCCATTTACAGCTGCCACTTACACACACACACAGAAAGGTTGGAAAGGTTGGGGATCACTGTCCTAGAATATGTCATTCCTTCCATAACAGGTGTAAATAATTCTGAGCAGGCTCCTTGGACAGAGTTCTACAGATGCAATAAGGATGCATTCTTATGCCATTCTTATCATCACAGTGGAGGCCCAAATCTAGGCATTTATCGGTATTCAGTCATAATCAGCCCATTATTCCTTTGCCAATATTGTTCCAGGAAATATCTATAGTAGCTTTATTTTCCAAATTGCCTCAGTAAATGAAAAACACCCTCCCCTCAAGGATGAGCAATTGTAGAGAGACACGTGGGAGCAATCTTGTCTAATACCCTAATCATTTCTATACATGTAATCCTTGATTTAACACCATTTATTTAATACCATTCAAAGTGATGATGGCACTGAAAAAAAACAGTGACTAATGACCACTTCTCCCACTTACAACCACTGCATTGTCCCTGTTCAGTCACACATCAAAATTCAGGCATTTGGGAACTGGCTTGTATTTATCACTGTTGCAGTGTTCCAAGGACATATGATCACCATTTGTGACTTTCCCAAGACACTTCTGACAAACAATGGGGAACCAGAAAAACCAAATTAGCTTAATGATTGTATGATTCAATTAATGACCATGATAATTTGCTTAACAACTGTGACAAAAATATTGTAAAATGGAGCAAAGCTCATTTAATGATGAGCACTGGAAGTTCTGGTTCTAACTGTGGTGATAAGTTGAAGACTACCTGTATTCCAACGATTGCCTAGATGTATGATGAAACTGCCTATAAAATCACTGGGGAAAAAAATCCCCAAATGCATTCAGAAAGCCCCCAGGGTCCATCAGATATCTGGCTTTGTATCATCCTAACCAGTCACCCATCCTCCCAGACATAAAGAGTATCATCAGTCTACAACTTGACAAGAAAAAATGTTCACTGTAGCACAAGGTTGAAAAAAATATCATCCCTCCTCAGATCCTCCACATCTACTGATTTAGCACACACCTGCTTGTGAGAAGTGGGATTAAGACCCACTGGGATAAACCCATAATGCCAAAAGAGCTAGAAATTCCCAAATGCCGCCAAGTAGCACTCCCAGAGCAAGGAATATGACAAGATCTTTTGCAGGGGGGGTTGTTGTTGTTGTTTATTCAAATAATCTGTGCATTTTCAGAGGAAAAAAATCATTAAATCAAGCACATTCTTAAACTGCAGTAGGAACCATTATATTGGCTATTGAGAACAAAAGAGAACATCCATAGCTTTTGCATGTATGATACTTGTTCCTTTGCTTCAATCTCACTTTTTCTTAGGAACTTAGGGTAGTATATACTGTATTTCCTCTCCCCTTTTTTCCCCATAACAACAACTCTGAGTTAGTTGAGCTGAGGAAGGGAGGGAGGGGGGAGGAGAGGGAGGGAGGGAGAGACTGGCCAAAATCCTCTGAGGATTTCAATGGCTAGAATGGACTACAACCTTGGTCTCCCCTGGTCAAGGCTAACCCTTTTGATGCCCTTTTGAAGATCATTTAATTTTGTTCTGGTATCAGTATATCAGAGATCAAAGCTCTTTATTATTAACTCTACAACATTTGATCTGCCCAGCCAAGAGGAATTTGAGTGGGTTAGCAGCACAGAAAATCATGTGCTCATTAAATACAGCTCTGGTAGGCAGAATTCTTGGACCTCCTTAGTTATGTCGGCTGAACTGTAGCACTGAATTGTTATGTCAAGTTTATGCCCAGGATATAATTTTCCAGTTTTGAGGGAAAGGGGGTCATCCCTTCTTCCTGGGTATGGATTTAATTATATTGTTGTGATTACATCCCACAACTATTCTAGTGAATAAACTCCACTAGGTTCAGTTTTGTTGGGATTAGCATGGATCAGCACAGGGCAGAACAATAAGAAAATGTTTCTTGGATTAAAATTGAACTTAAAGATGGTAAAATTGACATCGTTCTTAAATAAACAGTGTGAGATGCTAACATTCATCCAAAGGGGTTGAGAAGCTCAATGACATTTATAATTCAAAGAAAATGGGGCTTGCATTGTGTATGTACTGGTGAAACGTTATACTTCTTATGATTAAATAAAGGGCACAGATGGGGAAAATAGATCATAGAAAAATATATCAGAAAGTATAAATATGTATATGACTATGGCATTGACCAAGAAGCATCGTAGCTGATATTATTTGGGGATCTCACCAGCAGTGATATTTCTTAGAAGCATACACTGACTTATTCCTTTAAACACAAGTCACATACTTTCTCTTTTGCCACTGTGAAGTCAACTGAGTACAAGTGAGCAGATAGGATCTACAGAGTTGATTTAGCCCTGGGCCTACAAGCTGCTAAGCCCAAGAATGAACAATTGTTTATCAGTTGTTAAGTGCTCTAGGTTTGCTACCTAGCTGGCAATAAAAGCAGGAGGTTTTTTTTTTAATAGCTGCAGAAGTAAGAGTTTGGCAGATATAGCTAGATATAGCAACATAATTTTTGGAATAGAACAAGGTTTTCTCAGGGACAACCTCTCCCCAATTACATCTGTTTGTCCCACCAGATCCACCAGAGAGAGCATGGTAGTGGTTCCATTGGCTAGGGAGCTACTTTTGATGGGCTGTAGGCAATGGGCTTTTCTGTTGTGACCCCTGTATTATGGAATATCCTCCCCACTGAAATGAGGCTGGGCTTCAACACTTTTGGCTTTCTGAAAATTTCTCAAGACCTGCTTATGCCATCAGGTTTTGGGACCCCAGGTGACTAGTCAATTATTGAGGTGGCTCTGATATTAATGTTCTTTCAACCAATTTTCCTGTTTGCAATAATAATAACAACAATTGTTTGATGTTTAGTAACTAATGTTTTTTAGCTTTGTTGTACACCATCCAGAGTCTTTGTAAAATGGATGGCTATATAAATTTGACAATAAATTTGACAATAAATAAATTGCATCCATATTCTCATTTTTCATTTTCAGTGTATGGGAATCTGGCAACAGCAGTGACTTTTGCAACTCCATGTGTTACTCAATGACATTTTCTCAATACTTCTTAACATGTACATATAACAATATCAGATTATTTGGAGAGGTTAGGATTAAACTCCATACTAAACATTTTGGATTATAACTTTCTACAGATGATGCTAACTGCTGCAGTTAGACAATAGTTTAATCAAACACAGTTGCCATGAGCTATTTCCAAAAGAAAGTGGAATGAATTCTTTTCATTCTTTGAGAAAATACATCTTAAAATATGCATGTTTCATTATTGTTCATGTAGGTTTCATGTAGTGCCAAGTGTTTCTTTTAATTCCTAATTTGGATAAATGCCAATCCACATCCAACCTTGCTGCACTAAATCATTTTTTGTAGTCCAAAGTCCTTTGAACTTGCATAAGTTTTACAACTTGAATTGGTTTGGCATACAGAGTAGCAACATTTTGGATATTTGAATGAGTTTGGACCTATTATTTGCTGTCACATTGGCTTCTAAGCTTCCACTGGCACATCAAAAATATGAAGAATCCTATTTGGGCAAGCACAGAGGGAGGGGAAAAAAGGAGGAAACAGACACCTGAATAATGAAAAATAGATTTCAAAAGAATGACAGGATCTTGTGAATTGAAAAAGAGTAACAGAAATTGGAATGAGCCCAACACATTCTCTTGTTCTGCATTATCTGTGGTTATTGTTTGGTCTCATTTGTAAAGTACTTCATAAACTCTAATTTTGAGCTGCTATTATTTGTAATTGCTAAGTGGGCCAGTTATATACTTTAGTGTTGCGTCTAAGGAAACAATAATTTTATACCTTAAGTACATACCACTCCTGTAGGTATTACTATAATCTAAGGCCTACCTTTGAAAGCTGTCTAATTATATAGTTAGCTCACTACTTTTTAAAGCACAGATAGTATGTTATATGCCTGCAACTAACAAGATATGTGTAGCATGATAAATAAGTTTTTGAAGCTTTGTTTATTAGATATGTTTGCCACCCATTTTGCTTTGAGATGGCTCTTTCATGATAGAAACCAATCTATATCACTTGTTACAAAAGTCTCCAGGTACTCTTCCTTAAGTATTAAGTATTCCTAAGAAATGTGGAGTGAAGAAAAGTTAAGGAATATTTATATTACAAACACCCAGATGTAAAATATGTGGAAGACACATAGGGTTAGGATTACAGTTGGTTAGGGTTAGAATTATGGTTATAACTTTTGTCCTCAGTTCTCCATACCCATCAAATTAATTATATTTTACCGCTTCATGGTCCTTTATTAAAATATTCTCAGGCTTCAAGGCAGCTTTTTATACTTATACAGTAGAGAACACAGTCACGGTGCTGTATAAATTCTTTTATATTGATGTTTTACATTGAACTATTTTAAAGACGGCCTCACTGGAAAACACAGTGAGTTCCAAGAACTGATCAGTCATCTGCAATTATATAGTGTTTTTGAACACAGTTACCTAACAATATATTGGTTCAGCTATTCCAGAAATATAACAGCAGGCATGAAAGAGGGAGCACAAAAAATTGGCAACTTTTCTCAGAGTACCTTAAAGCAGCAGCGCAGTAAATCTGAACCTGTCCATAAAGGTTTATGGAGTATGGGGAAAAATAAATTTCTATTTATTACAGTTTTCTGAAGAGTTTTCGGAAATTCTGAGAATCACTGAAAATGATTTTAGCTGCAAACCTGTACTTGCTTATCTGAAAGTAAATTT